ATCGTTTATGAGTGCTTGCCTTGGATTCAAATGTGCAATGTGCTTGACCAATCAGAGCGCTTAATGCAATTAGCGTCGGTAATCGCCTAATCGGTATTTCAATTTTCAATTGATACTCGGCAGTCTGGCACGTGCTTACTGTCGAGTTGGATGCGTCACCGAATGCCGAAGTACCGTATCTTAGGCCCTGGGAGTAAAATAGTTGTTTTTTCATTTTTCGTTCTATTTTTCACCCCTTACGATGTCTAAAGAAAAGAGACAGTAAACCTTTTTTTGATTTACGGTATTTTCTTATTTTGATGTTTTGAGCTTTTTTATGTTTAAACAATATATGCTAATTTTTAAAATATCAAATTGAATTTTTGTTCAATAAAAATCTTTCAAATGTGACTGTAGCTTTTTTTTTCCCAAAACTTTGTCTTCAAAATAAGGGTGAGTCTTATATTCCGAAAAATACGGTAAGTAATGATGTTATTAAACTCATTTTATCATCATGCTTTATCACGCTTATTACCCTGAAAGGGGCTCTGCTTCAATAGCTCATGCGTTGTGTATTGTTATACATGGTGCATTTAAAAAGTAGTTGAGACTCTACAATACACTTTTTTGTGAAAATTTTTATTCAACAAGGAACAAGTGTTGTGATCAACATTGTTGTTATATTAAAATCATAACCATTACCAGCTTTAGCAGTTTAGATTTAAACAAATCTAAACATCATTTCTATTATTACAGATGGCTTGATGAGCTCTGTTGTACGGCAAAAGCCTAACTGGTAGTGGCGTCTTATAGCCGTTAGGAAACAAAAAGTACGTGAAAGATGAAGTTTAGATAAATTATACTTTCTGTTTAAACTGTCATAATTGAATTAGACATGACGGTAATTTTTTTTAGGAAGCGTAAAGAACCAAAGTATCACCTTAAATTTTGTGTGGTTAAAAACGTTTACTCATTTTCAGTCTGAAACATGTAATACATCATGTTATATTTCAGTTTCTAGCAGACTTCAAATTGTACCAGAAGTGGTATTTCTGATTCTCTAAGGGCATACAGAATTCTATTTTTCTTCTAATTTTACCTGCACTTTTTCTGCACCGACGACATCTTGAAAAGATCAGTACAGCCACAGCTAGTACAATGAGCGTTCCTACAACACCAATTACAATAGCTAATGTTGGACTAATGGTTGTTGTTTTCGGATCTCCTAGAAAAAAAATAGAAGAAGAAAACTATAACTTATAATTACAAAAAAAGAAGTTGAATAAAAACTAAAATGTATATTTCCATTTTGCATTTTTAAACGTGAACATTTGTTTTGTTTTTAATAATGTACTAACTGATATAATTTTCTATGTTGTAAGAAGTTTATTTGTCAAGATTAGAAGTGATAAGTGTAATTTTGTATGAACAAAATGCGGGTAAGCTTATAATTTCAGCTGCAAAATAGTTATAATCTTCGAGTTGATTGTTCGCGATAGTTACACATCAATTGGAAAAACGCAAAAATAGTGGTTAAAGGTCATGTAATATTAAAATAATTTAAAATTATATAATATGAATTTCTAAACTGCTTTCACCACGCAATCAATGCCATAACAATTCATAAAAGAGATGTAACATTTAAGTGAAATAAGTCAGACGCTTTGTTATTATTATTACTATTATTTCATATATATATACATATATTTAAGCAGATAGAAAAATACTTTTTTTGGACTAATTCGGCCTCTTTTTTATTTAATATAACGTTAATAAAATAGGAGATAAAAGGAAAATACAACACAATAAATGTTTATTTTTATGCTTCCAAGATATTGATATTTGAATATTATAAATTATGTTCTTTCTGTTAATGATAGAAAATATAATGAAATTGATATGTCATTAAGAAACACGTCATAAGAACGCTTCCGACATCTGGCTAAAGAAGTTGTACAGGTTGAGTGTGTAATTGGTGAATCCCAACTTTAATGAACTGTAACTTAGTCTTTGTCATATTTCGAACAAAATGTGCTATTTCGAAAGGCAGCAATTCATAATTGCATAAATAAATCAAGCAACTGTGTTGCTAAGAAAAAAATAAAAGCTACCTGTTTTTGGAATTGTATATACAGAATGAATAAAGAAATCAAATAAGCCTGTAAATTAAAAGTTGCTGGCTGTCACTTTTATTGTGCAATATAGTATTTTATTATATTATGTTCAATATATGAAAAAAAAAGTATGTTGGGTATAATTTATGTTTACTACACCGCTAATCACCGATGAGCTAAACAAGAAAAACTGGAAGAAACTTTCCAACCAAAATCAGACACATCCTTAACGAATTTGCACTGAATATATCTTGACAAGCCCGTGTCACAAATAAACAAACTTACTTTAGTTCCCGGGTCATCTTAACCAGTAGTGCCCTTATAACTAGTTTACACTGAAAATCGAAAACGAAAGTCTACATCGATCATCGGAAGACTAAGTCAGCAAAAAGAGAAAGTTTCTTAAACAAATACACGGGAAGACGACGCAGAACAGACTGTATCTTAGTTCCACTGGTAATGTTTCTTTAGAAGTGAAGTAGAGTGTAGACGACGCCGAATGAATGTACATATAGAAAATAAAATGGGAAAGCCTCGACTGAAACAACAAGCGAAAGTAATCGAGCTATAGAAACATATCATTTTAGAGTCCTGTGTGTTACCCAAATAAACATATAGATTGTTCAGTTGTGAGTTACAATAAATATTGGAATACTTATTTTGAACACAAAGTGTTTTGTTAAGTAAAAGTTACGTTAAGGGCAAATATGGTAACTGAAATCAATATATTTTATGAACACTACGTCGTTGATTTTTCGTAAGTTAGCTGGAGTTTAATAATAGTGTAAAATATTAAATCTTATACTACACAATGACTGGTGACTGTTATAAAGTTTGGTGTAAGAAACGTTAGTTAGAGTTGAGAAAGGTGAGAAACACCCGCGTTTTGGCCAGTTCCTAAGAAATCTGAGGATTACAGAACCCTGAGCCGTCAGAAAAGTTATGGACGGAGCGACCACCTTTCTTCTTCAGCGCTATGGAAACAACAGGACCCCCTATGGTTATGAAATGTTATAATCAAAACATGTGTACAAGGTGAGAAAGAAAGAGACTTGTTCCGCGCGAATTTTAAGAAATGGATATAAAAGACACGAGTTTAACAAAATAAAGGAAAAAAAAAAGACCGGGAGTTGCGAGAGAGACCGAATAAACTGAGAGAGAAAGAGAGGCGAAGGAAGAAAGTGATGTGCTACCAGTAAGAAACAAAACTATTTCTAAACCTATGTGTTATTGATTTTATGTTAGAATTGGTATAAGTATGTGTCTGATAGAAATAAATACAACCTTAATAAAGTTAAACGGAAAGCAAAGTACAAGTATAGCAAGATCATAAGAAAGTTGTATCAGAAGAAGTATTGATCAATTCATTAGAAATCGAAACCTAACACAAAAGAAGAGTTTCACGTTGGAATCACGTCAACAAAAGTAGAGGAGGAAAGTCAATTCGACGGAGCATTGAAGTCGGGAAAGAGAGTAAATTTCTTTTTCATTCTTATCTTGTCTATATTGTTTTTGTGGGTGGTTCACTTAATCCTTACAGGTTATAAATTTTGTGGTTCTTTGTTTAAAAATAAATGATTAATGCTAGTATGGTAGACAGCTGGGAAACTTTGTTATGATCGTGCTAAACTTACATTTCGCTTTCCTTTCAACTTTATTAAGGTTATACTTATTTCTATCAAGAGTTTACTGATATCAGTTTAAACATAACAATTTCCCCAGAGTGCTGTAATGCATTACTTTCTTAGCGACTCACTAAAAGCCAGCCGCTTTCTCACCTGTCTCAACTCCCACCGCTGTTTCTTATACCAAACTTTATAACAATGAATATATTTTACCGAAATATGATAGACTTAGCAAGTCGTATGTTTCTGATAATCTATGCGTTTAAGTTTTATAATATTTGTCTGTCTATTCAGAGAGAATTAGTTTAGTTGAAGCAAGATATATTTCTCATATAGCCCATAGGTTAAAACACCTAAAGTATAGTTTGTTCATTTTTGCTAAGAATATGATAACTATAATCATTAGAAGATTCACGAAGACATCAAAATTTCTTATCTTAGAAGTCGATAAACCTCTAAATATTACAGTGAAGTAATGGTTTAAAATACACGCATACTACAATAAATGATAGATATTGAAAATTTTATAGAGTTTACAATGTTTCAGGACAGTGCAGTGTTAATTAGAAATTTCATCACGATAGATAATAATAATAATTTCTTTAAACATACAGTTAAGCATGCAGAATTATAGATCAATTATTTTAACAAATACAGTACCTTACGAAACTCGGTACGAAGTAGCTTACATATTTTATAAATCATTTCTAAAATTAATATGTTTACCTTTCAGTTCTTGAGTAGCTAGAGTAGTACTTGCTGTTAATACAACCAAATTGCTTCTTCCTTTAGAATTCGAAGCGTAAATCGTTACGATGAACGATGTGGAAGGGGGAAGATTTGTTGCAAGAAAGGCTGGTGATTTGTTTTGAGTCAAGTTGAGGAAAATTTTTTCTTTTAAAGAACTGTAAATCTCTAGATGAAAGGTTTGGTTTAGTCCCCCGTCGTAGCCCTCTTTGCATCGCACGGCAAATCCTCTTGCAGTGATATTGAATAAGATGCAATTCTGCAAGGAAGCAGGCCTTCCTGCAATTCATTGGATAAAGACATGTAATCTTAAGACTCTCTCTCTAAATCTAACTTTAATGCAAAATGGCATGCAGTCTTTTTTTCTGTTTTATCCTTCTTGAATTTTTTTGTTTTTACACATCAATACTTTAAACTTTCACGTTTGGTTAAGGTTCTACAGTTTTTAATTACCGTTGTTAAACTACCTATATAATACAAAATTGATTAACTTAATATTTGCCTCAGAATTAATAGGAGTTCAAAGGACTAACTAAATGTATGTACTTTATATTATTTACGGTTCTTTGAGCCTGATATATCACGTGCTCATCCACTGACAACTTTTCTCAGAAAATTTAGTTATATTCTATCTTTTAATCACGGGCAAATTATTCTATATTGTTACTCTACTAAAAAAATGCCATTTTAAAAATGAAAGTTGCATTTTAAAAATATTTGTTTTTTTTTCTATATATAACAAGAGCTCAGTCACAAAAAGTACTGTAAAGTCTTTCAATTTATAAGCACAATATAAGTAGTTTCGTCTCGCACTCACTATCAAAACACTTAACCCTTACATATTTGTAAATAAGCTAACTGATCAGTTTGAACTGTTATCTAGAAAACGTTGGAAGTACAGAGGTGAATATTTCTATAATTATAAGGAACTGATGATAAACTACGTACCTACGGATATAATATTAAATATGCATGGCTCCCTTTGCTCACCAACATCGTTTTTTGCCCAGCAGAGCAGAATTCCATAATCTATTTCACTTCTTGGTCTGTACGTGAGTACGCTTGTTGTTTTGTTGACATAAAAAGAATGTATGTTAACCATTTCTTGTGAATTATTTAAAGTCCAAAAAAAGTCAACATTTCTTGGATTAGAATCAACACAGCAGCTAATGATAGCGCTTTCATTCTTAGCAAGCCGATATACTTGTTCACGATGATCACAACAAACAGGAATATCTGAAAATACAACGTAAAAGCAGACTTAAACACGTTATTTAGTTTCATATAATTTACGGACTTAAGATTCCATTATTATACTAATACAGATGTACAAGAGAAAAACAAAATGAAAGCAATATAATTATTCCACATTGTTTATTATAAATAAAAACAAACCCAACTCTTGGCAATAATGAGAACGATGCTTACTCTTGCTAGCAGTTGAACTTCAGGAAAAAGTGAAATTATATTGCACTTCAATAATCTTTTAATTGTTCAAAAACACAAACTTACGTATATACAGTAAGTGTTTTCGTATGAACTAAAGAAAGAGTTTTATATCATTACAGGGGATCGGATACGTTATATTAAAACGATGTTCATTGTATAAATCAGACACTTTCGTGACAGTCGTAACGGATATAAAGTCACGGTGTTACGGTGTTTTGTAGGTAGTATGATGCCACTTAAAAGTTGTCGCTTTTGGGAAAGATATGTAACAGCCCATTTCGACACAAAATATTTATACACTCTGGTCATAAAGGTATTCATAAAATTATTAAAAATATAATAGAAATTCTACACATCGGGAAACATAGGAATATTGGTCAACTTGGGAAACTAGTACCGTCCAAAAGTTAACTGCAACATGTCATTCCCAACCTGTGGTCAGAAAAGTTTGGTATCTTGTAATAGGTGAAAATCAACGAAAACAAAAGTCAGTGGCAAAGCTGCCACCATCTCTCAGGAAACAGTACACAATATAATCAAAAGAGATGTCCTTCTGGAAAAGTGCTACAAGTCATGTATACACAAGCTAATTCTAAAACACATCCACCCGTTCAAACGTCGCATAACTAAATCAACTAAAGAATTAAATTAGTATTTATGCTATTCCTTACACACCAAATAGTTGTATTCATATAGTACTAACTCTACTGTAGTCTAAAAATATAATGTACAAGATGTGCAAATCTATGGCTAACATTCTACCCGGATAAGCTCATTATGGACCATCTGAAACTTTTTTTTTTAAAATTAAAATATATTAAAATATATTCAGACAGTTAATTCTTATTTGTAATAAGTGTTTACAACGTGAAACAAAATTAAAGTTTCTATTTTCAACGATGTTAATGTTATTGATTAAAAATCATTTTCAACCATAGTTTAATATACTTTGCAATTACACCCAAGGCATAGCGACCTTTAAAATGGAGTGGTCGTATGTATGTACAACTATTAGTAAACATTATCTTATCAAGGCATCATTTAACTTTTGAACCGAAAAAGTAACATTTTAGTGTCATGTAGGACCACCACAAAACTAACAAGAATTAAAACTATTCTTCCCTTCCCATTGTATAAAACAACATCTTGTTTTGTAGGTATTTAGGAAAAGAATATTCTGTTTAGAATACAATATTGTCTGATATATTACCAAAACAACCATAGTTTATGATATACATAGAAAATATAACGCACTTTTCTATAATTTTGCAGACATTGAAAAATCAAATACCTTTTATTTTATCCAAGGAAACAAAACTTTCATAACTATAATACTTAATAGATACATTTAAAATGATAAAGGTTTTGACAACAAAAAACCTCGGCTACGATGCAAGATCTGAATCAAGTGTCAAAAGCTGAAAGAGCAGTTACATAAAATAGGTAAGAAAGTCCTATTGAACAGAAGACTGTTGTGACTACCGACTTCCAAGGTAATAATGTGGAACAAAGGATGACAAATATAACAGGACTGTATAAAATGTAATTGTAAGGGATTGCTAAAGTATTTCAGTTGAAATACAGTTTACCATCAGGATGTTCAACCATGTGAGAAATCCAGCAACGAGCAGCACATTTTCCAGTTGATGTTTATTTAGAATATTTCAGCACTACTGAGCTGAAGTATTATTAGAAATCAGCGTGGATAATCCTGTATAATAAAGGAAGCGTAATTATTTTCCACGTATATGATATTCTTTCACAAAACAACTTCTACAGTTGTAACGCCAACCCACGAAATCATTCCCATTAAAAAAAATGGTTTTCTGGTATTCCTTGTGATCCTATCAGATATGAGGAATATAAAGCAGGAATATTTCTCTGGTATAAATTAAAATGTTCCACTTTATAAATTTAGTTTCATAAAACTATTTTAAGTATATTTTTACTGGTTTACAAAAGTTAAAGAATTTCAAAGCGCTTGTATGATTTTTCTGGTTGTTAAAATCCATAAAGTTTATTTTGCTTATTAGTGATTATAATTTAACCGAACTACACTTCTCAATATAAGTGATACATTTAAAGAGAAAAATAGTCGAACAACATATTCTATATTTTTTCTTTAAACTACCTGATACCTGAAAGGAAAGCTTAATGTTACGTAATAAATCAACGTATAGAGCAGTGTATTTTTCTCACGTATATGAGACAAACTAAATCTAATTAGTTTTCTTCAACATCATTGAATTGATTGTTGTAGTTCATCTTTAATTTAATAGAATTTTATATAAAAAGAGAGCTTAAACTAATTATTGCTTATTGCTATTAATGCTAAAATTGTTTTAATTTACCAGTCTTTAAATAAAAAAAAAACACTTACATTTTAGACTAATTTCAATTTTATTGCTTCTTCCTGAGCCTTGGCTATTATATGCTATACACTGATATTTTCCTCTCGATGTAATCTTTATATGCTGTAGAACCAAACTCTGGTTGCTAATAATAATCCCTTCTTCTTGTTTGTTACGAATAGGTATCCCTTCGTGTAACCAGATAATGTCATCCACCCAAGGATTAGCCTGAACATGACACTCAAAGTACACGTCATTCCCTTCAGCAATCGTTTCCAGTTGAATATTTGAGCCCAGTTTTAAGGTAACCTGTGGATCATCTCCGAAAACAAGATCAACTATGTCAGTATGTAGAATCCATTTTTACACCGCTCAAATAATTCATTAGAAATTGGTCGAGGTTTACATATGTCAGTTTAATTGAATACGACCAAACATATGTACAATCAATTCGCAGCTGAAAATGTTTTTAATATAACTTTGTATGATACAGTAAACAAATAAATGTATGTTTAGCACATTTGTAATAAATTTCACTTTATCGTTAATACATACTTATTCATTCTTTACCTTTGAAAGGTTGTTTTTTCTTTTATTACGAAAACGACACTTGGAAAGCGATTTTGTAATAGTGAACCAATAATTTATCGTTTTAGTTCGTTCATTCTTTAAAAGGTTTCGAAGTAACAATACTAAAACTTTCAGTGATGGGCGTTTCAATAGATCTTTTTTTTGTTTTTACTTTCCTAAATATAAATATGTGTAGAAGGTTTCTTTGTTGTTGTTTTCTTTGCAAAGCATAAAGCTACACAGTGAACTGTCTTCTGCATACCGCGAGTATCGCAACCCGATTTTTAGCGTAATAGCTCTCAGGCTTTCCACTGAGCCAACAGAGAGCAGGTGTAGTACGATTTATATAATAATTAATATAATGACAAGTAAGTTAAGGAAGATTGCAAAAACAGCATAGAACTTTATAAAATCTACTCTAATTTTAGCGTTCACACTTTTGTAACTTAATAAGCCTATTTTTTGTTAGATAATGTAAAAACACGTCATTAATCAGGAACGAGGATGTTCAGCACCTCAAAATGATAAGAAAAGTATATTCGAAAGAATGATATATCTATATATATATGTATAGATATATAGCGTTTTAGTTAATGATGCTTTCAGGGGTTACAACAAAAACATCTGTAAACGTAAGTGTGTTCTTCATTAATAAACATTAAATTTAAGTGCATCCTACACTGGTTTCAAAAATTCACCATAAAATTGTTATATATTTGAACTTATATATATATACACTTTTCTAGCAGGTAAAAAAATCAAAATTGAGATTATAATTGCAAATTTTAAGTTACTTAAAGAACATTTCGTTTTCCAGAGAGCCTTTTATGAAAGTAACATTTTGTTTGATATCCTCATGAGATTAAGTACATCATAAGTGCATTAATCACAGTACATGCAACTAGAAATTTAAGTGCAAAAATATATTAACATCAGAAGTATAGTATGGTACAGACAAAAAATACATTAAACATGAGTGACGTCAAATGATTCGTAGAAAAAATCTTATTTTTTTAATACATAATCATATTATTCTCTTTATCAATGTAAGCAGAATTAGAGATGCATTAAATAATCAAACTTATGTACATATTTTGATACAATTCAAAATAAGTTATAGAAGACAAAATTGTAGTTTTAGTTCATACATCCATAACTCAAGAAAAGTAGTTACTCGTAAATATATAAGCAGTTTACTATTATTACACATGGCCTTGATGTATTGAATTAGTGTGGCAAGCTGTTAAATGCCATGTAACTATGCATTATGACGTTCCCATTTTAATTTGAGCGAAGGTTTATTGAACACTAAATCCATGTATACATATTTCGTGTTCAAAGCTTATGAACCATGTTTTCCAAACATATGTAATTTTCACGAATTACTCCCCTAAAGTTCAAGAAAAGATAGACAAACATAAGAAAGGTTGAACAATGTGCAACCACAGTAAATTACGGTTGTTACAAAATAGATAAATCAAATTGCAGTCTTCCCGAAGATAATCAGTAGCAGATCCTCAGTCGAGGTGCCCTCACTGGTCGTTTCGGCCCTTTATCCTCGAGGCGACCATCCAAGTAAAGGGCGGGCCAAGCACTGAACACTAGATCACCACCACAGCCAGCTGACTATGTTCCTGTTCGATCTTTTGAACACTCATCATGCATCCGGCAGGCGTATTTTCTCTGTTTCAGTGCACACGAAGTTGTGTACTAGCTCTATACTTCTACCAGATCCAGAGCTATGCCTTTGCTGTCTTTATACATACTTCTTGATAGCGAGAAACACACTTTTTAGAAAGTAAAGGTTTTGAGACGCATTGACTGGGTAATGAAAAAACTTTATTATTAATGTAGGACGTTTCGACAAGATTTTGTCATCCACAGTCGATTTACAATAAAGTTTTTTCATGACCCGTCAAGCCGTCTCAGTACCTTTATACATACTTCCTTTGTCACTTGGCTTTTCCATATATGCTCTTCTTGTCTAGAAAAGCAACGATCAAAAGACTCACCTGCGTATCCTTTTCACGCTACTTCAATCGCGAAACAGTGGATCGTACACCCTCTATCACTGCAAACATCAATGATTTCAGAATACTTAGAGATTTTATATTCACGTAATATATCGATATTCCTTCCCAGGAGACCTTCAACTCGTCCAACATGACCACAATACAATATCGGGTTTAAGGTCAGTAGCCGCGATCATCTGCAGGAAGATCATCTGTGTGTCTAAATTAGTTGACTGTTAGTAGGATGCTACTTTTTACTCTCTCTCTTTCAGTGTTTTTTTCCTCTCTCTTTTCTCCTTATGTCACAAATTTAGTTGTTAAGCCTACCGCCTAGTTGCTCTTGTGCTTCATCCTTTTCTGTACTTTCTCTTCTAATATCTCCTTGATTCTCCCCAGAATCAGATTGTGTCTCAAGGCATAAACACCTTTAATCAACGAGAATTCAAAACCGGCTAGGTTGTGTTTTAACGAGCTTCCCTCCCTCTCTCCCAACTTGTGGCATTTCTCTTTGGTTGTCTTTTTCCAGTTACGTAAGTTACGGGGTGACGATAAAACGTTACATGTGCAACAATAAGAAGCTTAAACACACAACCCAATCAACCAGATCTCAGACCAAGGTATCCATTTAAACTCTACGTCTTTCCACACTATTCGCTTCCCCCGTTGGTACATACCAACCGTAAATTCATATTACGTGTTCAAAGTTCATGTTTACCAAGCATATGTAATTTTCACTACTCCCCTAAAGCTCAAGAAAACAGAGAACTTAAAAAGGGTCGAACAATGTGCAACCATAGTAAATTACGACTGTTACACATTACATATATGTATATAGTGTAGTATATACTGTGTCTAGGTGTAGTGAATGTACATTCATAGTTCAAATTGGTTGGCTTCCTCAGTAATATATAAATATATGTTAGTTTATGTAAATGTATTCTTGTTGAAATTTTACATTTTCGAAAGGTTTTATTACAGCTTAATATTCAAAGTTTATGCTTAATACTAGTTTCGTAAGAATATATCACATAGATTTTTAGAGCTCTTTCTGACATATAATTTCTCCAACTCCTTAAATCTTCCTATTACTTAATAGGTATTGCTTTAAATAAGCTTACATTTCTTCATATAAGTCACTTGAGATCGTTCAAATGAAATATTTAAGTCGTTTATTCAATGCAACAAAAACTGCAACTTTTCTTACAGATTTTTCAGTTAATATATGTTTATATTTTACAGACTTTAAGGTTGTGAGTTTCTAAGGTAGTAATATCGCTTTAACCACAAATTATTCAAATAACAAAGAATCATAAGAAAGATTAACGAGACACTGAAAACTGATGCACCGCGTATCTTTTTCTGAACAGATCTTATTTCAGCATAATTACTTTATACTTTTTAATTTTTAGCCCCGTTCAGGTAAATTTTAAAGGATGGCTTTAGTATTTTTGCCGTCTTTTATATTTTTATATTTTGTTCTGTGAGATGTAATAGCCTAATTAACATATGTTGATCTAGCAATCTACAGTGTTTTATATCTAGCAAACTATGGTTTTTGCCAATTGCAATGCCTTACACACATAAGGAGTCTCCTTCATTCCAAATAGATTGATGATATTAAAATTCAACAAGTTTCAAGTGTTAAATGTAGGATTTCACATATATTACAGAAAAATATTCTCTCTCAAATAGAAGGGAAACGTATAATACATTACATTAAAAACTTATGATTTAAATCAAAACTTTGAAGAGCTAATTGTTTTATTAAAACTGCCGTGTGGGCATTTCTTTCAAGTAGACATTAATAATAATAAAGATATGAACAAAAGAAGATAACAAATATTTTTATTCCATTCATTCAGATATAGAAGCAGAATACATATATAAAGTAGAAAACTAGTAATATATTTTAACAATAAGATTAATAAATTTGTAAATAAATAAAAATAACAAATAAATAAAAATCAATCAGTTCCCTTGTTTATACTATTTTGATAGTTAGTATGCCTAAAAGAGCTTGAGAAATTAGTCAAAGTTAAAATAAAATGATATGTTGTTTGTTTTTCTGGAATAACAATAATTGATTTTGTTATATAAAACACATAACTTTAGTTAATTAGTATTTACGTGAATTACTTTTGACTGTGTCATTGACGGCTGTGGCTAGAGTGTTGAAATTTCGCAACACAAACAAGTTTTTAACGCCTTAAAAAGTCTGAAGTAATTCAATTACAATCAACTAACCTTCATAAGAAAAAACAATGTTTATTTATATTTCTTATTACGTAACACATGCAACTACTCTAGAATATGACAGAATTATAAAGAATAACACCTTGTGATTTTTTTTTTTAAATTTTGCGCAAAGCTACACGAGGGCTATCTGCACTAGCCGTACCTAATTTACCAGTGTAAGACAGTGGAAGTCATCACCACCCACCGCCAACTCTTGGGCTACTCTTTTACCAACAAATAGTGGGATTGACCGTTACATTATAACGTCCCCACGGCTAAAATGGCGAACATGTTTGGTGTGACGGAGATTCGAACCCGCGACCCTCAGATTGCGAGTCAAGCGCCCTGACCACCTGGCCATGCCGGGCCTATGAGATGAAGGTTATGGTCACAAAAGAGAATCATCCGACTTAAATAGTTATCGTGATGGAGCTGGCTTTATCTCGTAGTGAAACCTATGATACTATATGTTAGCCTAAATATCATACTTCCTATACACTCGT